CCTGGTGTCAGAAAGGAACATCTCCTGCAGGCAAAGCAAAAACTCCTGAGGGAGATGATAGCTACTGACCAGCCTGTATCAAATCTAGTCACACAAGCACCAAACCCCGAAGTTAAAAGTGAAATCTCCATCAGCCCCAAACTGGGATGTGAGTACTTGGATGTGTCCTTGCTGAAAGAACATGATTTCTCAATGTTATTTTAGTTTTGAAGCTCTCAGGTGGTTGGGAGAGCTCCTTCTGAAGAGAAAGTGGCTTGTACAACAGCCATCAGCCCGCTGGATGGATTTAGTTTATAGACTAGCTCCCAGTCACAGCAAAACAGGCCTGAAACTCATGTGCATGTACCGAACAGTGAAATAACAACACTCATAGCAACAAAAACTTCTGGGAAAACAGACGAAAGTTTGTGAAAAGAAAACAAGCTTTGATGCCAGATCTTCAGATTTTGAGCTATTTTGTGAAGCAACAGCAAAATGCAGGGTAATGGGGAACCAGAGGAAGTTATTTAAGCAGTTAAAAGGCTTTGAATAAAGACCATTCACAAAGGGCTACTAAGGAAAGTCAGTAGCCAGGAGGAGAAGAGCAGGTAAAACCATGCCAATTGTGGATCCAAATCCTGTTAGGGAATAGCACGCAAGGGCAGAGCAGGAACAATTGCCCGGCTTTATTCACAGCATTTAGGTAGTGGGGTGCCTCAAAGATCAAGACAAACAGCAGCACTGTTTAACGAACTTTCTGAGGACTTGCTGTAAAGGCTGTATACATCAGAGCAACACACAAGAGCCAGTGGATCATGAGGCACCTCAGTAAGCCTCAACAACACTAAGTAACGGAGCCATGCGTCAGCAGAGGGAATGTGGTGTAGATAAGTGCAGAGCAATTTGCCTTGGAAGGCATGATTTAAACTACTCATACACAGATGGGTTCCGAATTAATTGTAACCTTTCAACAGAAAGATTGAGGCATCAGTGTGGACAGCTTAATGAAGATGTCTGCTCAGTGTGCTGCAGTGGTCAAACTCAGAAAAGAAGCTGTAATAAAAAAGTGGATGACAGAAAATATTGTAATATGATTATACTAAATATTGATAGAAAGTTTCAGTTAGCCAGCCTTAGAGGGATCTGAAAGAGAAATCTGCCTACAGAATAAACTGAATGACCTTGTAGTGGTCAGTCCTGCTAAGTGCCAGGGTCATCTCGCTTGTCACTGACTACAGTGCATCCTAGGCTCTCAGCACCTTAACTGAGCAGAATGGCAGCCTTTACAGAAGGAGTACAGGACTGTTTGTACAATGAAGGATAACCTTGACATGGTACATGGCATGCTTGTGTACCTTGTTCAATAATAACGAAACACTCAAAAGGACAAAGCTTATCAATGCAGTGTATAGCTAACTAATCTCTAGAAAGCTGGTCATAAACTGTTCTTATGGTAAATAGTTTTGTTTGCCACCAAAATAAGGAGTCTTAAATATACATTAAAATACAGTTAGTCAATTAACTGATGTAATCAGTAGAACTGATGATATAAGCCAAGGAGATACCATTTCATCAGTTGTTGTACAGAAAATAAAAATGACAAGAGCCTTCAACTTTGAATGTTGAAGACCCGTCAGGGTTAAGATAGAAATCCCTCAGATTTATGTCTCCATCAGTGATGATATAACTGGTGAACTGCTTTATATTAGAGGTTTGTCTTCTCAGTTGTATGGCCACAAGGCAATCTTTCCCTAGGTATAGTGTTGTTGAATGCCTGATGCATTATGAGTTCTTTAGAAGATGTTAGTGTTGGCACTGCTAGTAGGCAGATACTTAACTCAGTGTACTGTGCTATGAATACCTATCTAGAAAACTACAGTTTTCTGTGCTATGAATACCTATCTTCAAGCAAAATACATGTGACTGAATTTCAGATACCCTTTTAGCTATTTGTTCTTTCTGAAATCAAGTTCCCTTGTGCTGTGCTAACAAAAATAGAGTCAGGGGTAGCCAGCCATAATGCATGAGCAGCAATGAACCTTATATTACAGTTAAAAATAGCATTAATCAGAACTATACAATGAATTTAAGCCAGTATTAGTCAAAGAGCTGTTTGTTTTATTCCACAAGCAACATAAATATCCTTGAGCAATCAACTAGCCTTGAAAATTTCTACACAATACATAGACAATGAATGAAATGTTCATAAAATGTTCCAAACTGACAGGACTTTTGCCCTTAAATGTGAACACTTTTAGAAAATCTGTAAATAAAAGTACAGAGCAGTGGATATTTTTCATACTGTTGGAGGAGTAAAAGCTATATGTACATGTTTATTAGTACTAACAACCACCTTCCTAACCTAGCATGAGACTGGTAGGAGAGGACTGGAATCTCAAGCAACCTCAGGAGGTAGAATGGTAAACTAGCCTCACACTTGAAGGACATATTTTACTAAAGATCTTGTAGACATCTTCAGATGCATGTAAAATCCCTAACACACATTCTTCCTGTCACTGAACACCTTCCATACGAGAGTGAACTACAGGGTATTGGTTTTATTGAGCATGGGCATTATTATAGTGAGGGAAATTATTAGATTTAACATTTTCTGCATGAATGGAAAGTGGCTATTGGGGTGTCAGAGTCTGGAGGGAAGAAAGAAGCTGTGGATGTGGTTATGCAAAGAAGTTGTTGTTGAAGACTGTAACTTCTGTGATGGACAATATGTTGCTGGATTGCTGCCATTCCCAGTGTGAGAGATTTGGTGGGCAGTGTTGCATGTAGCTGCAGGAAATGGGCTACTTGGAAGGAAAAAATGCAGTGATCTTCCTGGACAAGAGCTATGAGGATTGAAAGTTTGCAGTGGACACAGACAAGGACACAGACAAGGTACAGAAGAGAGGGGAGCATTTTGTCCTGTGGCTTGAATGGGAGGAAGCTCTGCAAGGAGGTGCTGCCAAGAGGTTGTTGGGTTACATTCTGTGTGAGATTAAAAGTACCAGGGTGGACTTTGCCTCCACTGAAGTCAGTGATGATAATGACGGACGTTAAGATGGCCAGGGTCCCACTCATACTCTAAAATAAAAGCGGAAAACTAGGATAGCTTTAAAATCTTTTTGACATCAAATATCTGTGGCCACAGTAGTGACACTTAGGCATTCACCGAAAAAGATCTCTTAGGCACTTTCTAGGAGTTTTCCATTTTATAGAAAGAGAAACTGAGGTCTGTGTGAGACTTTCACAAAGGGAAAGGAATTTGGGTTCTTAAGTCTGATTTTCATTGCATTGCTGGAACTGGGAGAAGGGGGGAGAACAAATACCCTGACTCCTGGCCTGTTGATGAGACCACTACACAGGCTGTTAAAGGACTTGTTTTCCTTTCTGATTACATACCACTGTTTAAATCCATCGGCTTCTACTTTAAAAGGAGAAGAGTGCATGCTCAATTCTAGAGTAATTAGGTAATGTTGGTATTATGCTCTGAAGCTGTAAAGTGCTAATTTATGTAAAAGGCAAGTAGTAGTATTCTTAGCACTCAAGTATGATATCATCAGGCTGATGCGTAAGAACAGCAAAGTATGAAAAATCACATACATCTGTTTTGCTTTACTAAAACAAACTTAAAGTGAAATTAATCAATTGAAAAAATCAGTGTATCATAATTTTGCAGCTCTCACAAAGACATGTCTGATAAGAAAACTGAGTTTATCTTTATGTTGCCAAATAAGAGGCAACAAAACTTGAGGTTTAACTAGTTTTAGAAAATAGGAACTATTCTGAACTTTTTACATTTATTTTGTTTGCATTATTTTTCAGGGGTCCAACCGACTTAGTGTACATATTTCAGAGCAAAACTTGAAATGTACTGAAATCAAGTCCATTGCTTCTGAATCCTATGGCTCACAAAACAGTTACTTACACAAGTGGAAACAACACTTCCCAGTGCCAACCAAAACGAAAGGCTGAGGGAAAACAGGAAGTAATCCACACAGAAAGTGTGTAACTAATCTTGTGAGGGATAGCAGCAAGCCTCCTCTGCAGCAAGCTTCAGGAAGGGAGAAGCACAGATAGGCATCTTTTACACTGAGAATGGCCTGTCTGAGCGAGATTAACCCTTGCCACAGAAAGCTAAGATAACGTATCACTGTTCCAGAGAAAAACAATGTGAAGTACTGGATTGAGATGAGATCCGACTTGAAATGTAAAGCCTCAAAAGAGAGGCTTGCAGTAAAAAGAGTTACAGGCTATCAACTAGAGAAACACAGTGAAAATCCACTGAAAAGATGGGTCAGACTAGAATAATTCCAAGATCCTTCATACTTATAAAAGGAAACCACACTTGGAGAAGGTGTAGCGAAATAAGCTGCCTATAATGCTGAATGAGATGAAAAGATTTTATTGCTTACAAATTCTCCTGAACCCACAGCATATTCGTAAAGGCCTGGAATGAATGATGCTGCCATTACCACACAGTACACACATTATTTAATTTAGGAGAAAAACATAATCAAATCAAAGGAGAAAATGTAACTGAAACTGCAACTGTCTGCTGACAATGTGTGACACGTGACCAACACCACAGCTGCTTGTAACCCTTTATCATCATCAAGAGGATTAAACTACTTCCCTATGTATTTAAATAAAATTCAAAGTAGCAAGGATGCTGGAGAAGCATTAATGACCATGGTGATATATATGTACTGAAGAACTATTTTCCTCTATGCTACAACACTCTTTTGAAACACACTTGTTTGCTGTACACTGAACCCTTGTAGACTGCCAGGTAAGTCAGTATTTCTCATGTGATTTACAAAGGTTCTGCTGCATATAATACTGTCAGGTCCAATATTCATGCCCAAAATATGTGCTTATCCAAACCTACATTAACATTCAATACAGCAACAGAACATTTCTCTTATGTAACCATTACATTAATTTTACTAACATTTTCTTCATGACAGAAATATTGGAACTGCAAAGGCAAAATGTGGACTTAATCAAAGGAATAATATAATTACATTTTAGATTGGGTATTATTAAACTCCAGGCCAGACACTCACACAGATCAGTGTCTCAAGTGGACTGTTGGGCTGTAAAGATGCAAGCACCTGGAAATCCAGTCCCAAGTACAGACCACTGTTGGATTTAAACTGTCAATTTGATTGGTTGGTGGTTTGAGAAGTTAAGTTTTGTCAGCCTTACTCATACTGAGAAGTACCTTACCTCCTGCACAGCCCCACTGATTTAAAATAGGGTATTTGTATGCAGACATGAGAGAGTAGGGCACTGCATGAAATTATTTACCTAAAATATGTGACTGTTAATCGTGTGTATAAACATATCCTGGATTAAGTCCTATATTTGTAATCATAACTCTTTCTGGGTTTGGAACATTCCAATTCATTCTAATAATAAGCTTCAATTATTTGGTGGACTTCAAATAAATTACTTGTCAACTACCAGCTCAATTAATTACAGAATGTATGCAATGAACACTTCAGGTGTAATCATCCAGGTCTAATACGTACTTAGAACTAGGTACTCTGCTTTCTAATAATTTCTAATTAAATAAAACATTTTGTTCTACCTGAAATTGTTTTAAAGTCCTTGTTGACCCAAAACAGTAGCATTATTACATGGCTCAGTCTCCAAACAGAACAAAATTCAGTTCCTGCAGCCTATCTGGTGACTGCTTTCCATCTCTGTGCTCTAACTGAACCTGGTGTCATTTGGTTTACTACAGAAACTGCTAGCATTTTCTCAAAGGCACCCGAACATTTTCCTTTTGTTATTTCTGGTTCCCACTGATACCCAAAAGGAAAGAGTAGCAAAATTGTCAGTGCTGGGGTTCTGCATGACAGGATACAAACAGAATGATACTTGATTAATGATTTACTTACATGTCTGTTTATTTTGCATATTTACAACCTCTTGAGACTCTTTAAGAAATAATGTTCTTAATAAGTTTTCCCATTTTTATAGAGTTACTTTTTCAAAGAACTTACCTTGCAGTGAAATTACACTTAAGGAAGAACACTGGTTGCAATCACACAAGCTTGAAGGAGCACGCAGAGAGGGCTGTAACAGTAAAACAATGGAGCTTGTCACCCTTCCCAAGATATTCTCACAGACTAAGACAATGCAGATGAAGGGTGCAAAGCCACATTCATTATTACCAAAATAAAATATATCAACATGTTACTATCTTGAGCCATCTAAACAAACAGGAAAAGGTGGGTGGGCAGAGAGGAGCACAATTTGCATAGCTGTGCTCCTTAATTTAGAACAGCACTTTGATGTGTACATCTTTGGTTTCTGGCACACCAACAAGGGATGCAAGCATACAAAGCACTCTAATATACCTCCAAATGCTTCAGGAAGTTCCTTGCTCTGGATAACCCTTTGCTTTTCATAAAGATTGGTTGCCAACAAATACACTGGTAACCCCCATTCTCAGCAGAGTAATCACTTCCAATCAGGGCAGTGATGGATTGCCTTGTGAAACCTGGCAAAGGAAAAGCAAGTCCTGTGCTGACTAATGGAGATAGCGCATGCTCCATCCCTCTCTTTGTTTCCACCAACTCTCCTACACTAGCCAGCTGTGAACTGAGTACAGATTTGCTTTGACATCACTCCAGTAACTCCTTGTAATGTACACCACCACTGGATGAAATCCCCAGTGTATCGTCTCTTCCACACTTGGGCTGCCTCCCTGTGCATCAGGGGCAGTACCTCACTGAAGCTGAGGTACTGGCCTTCCCCAGGACAGTATGTGGTTGGAATGGGAGGGCAGGTGTTCAGTCCTGCCATGGCTGGTGTCCGAATTAGCAGAGGGGAGCTGCACTGGCTTTAGGAAGCTTGTGCCTGGTATCAAACTAAATGAACTGAGTTAATGCAACGTTCTGCCTTTGTCTGGACTTTACTGCTGTTCAAACAGCCAAATTTGACAAGGTAATTCCTTCCCACCTGGATTCTTGAGGATCTCACATCCAGACCCATAGGTAATCTTGTGTCCACTCTTATTCCCTAGTCACACAAGACTAATACATCTCTCACTGAAGCATGTCAGACAATGGAACTTTTTCTAATCAAAACCCCTGTTTTTTCACCCCACAGGCAAAAAACCCACACTGTTCTTCTCACAAAGGGAATTCCAGGGGGGGAAAAAGGCATGTTGAGAGACCAAAACAGATTTCTCTGCTTCCTGGGTGCCCATCTGGAACAAACTTGTCATGTTTATTGTTTTTCCTCAGGGTGGCCAGTGAAACCAGTGGCAGCCATCCAGCTCAGCACTAGTAAAGCAAAGAGCTGGGGACCTCCTGCGCCACAGTTCCCTCCCAAGTGCCAGGTGCCCCAGGGAAGGGTGGGATTAAAGGAAGCTGTGAGGAGGTCAAAAGCAAGAGCAGCCAGAAAATCAGCTTGTCTTCTCAATAGCAGAGCTTAATCATTTCTACAGCAAGGGCATTTATTCCAGGATATCATTCTAATATAAAATTTCCTACCAGATAACCCTAGCAGATGTCCTGAACTGGGTTTTCCTGACTGACTGCTTTGTGTCAGCATTGGAGGGAACACATAGACATTCACCTCCATGGAGATCTGGGACAGACAAGTCTCAGAGTTAGGGACTGTATTTTCCGAACTGCAAAAACGGACTTAAAGGTCCAAGTCCCCCTCAAATCCCTTCCCTGTGTTTTTTGCTCCAGTGGTATATCCCTGGAACTATAGGTATTCATCTGGCTTGAACACTTTCAGTAAATACCTGGAAAAACACCATCTGGGATTCTTCTTTTTGATTTTCCTTTCCTTCCTTTCACCGCACTCTGCAGGCATTCCAGTCTGGAAGGAGTGAGCAAGGCTGCATCTGCAACCCAGCCTCAGTGCCTGCCTGAACTTCTGATCCCAAATATTAACACCTAACTGAGGATCCATCTTTTCCCTCCTTTTCTGTTGTTGTGTTTGCTCTTTCTCAGTGATTCTTCCTAGATGGACACAGCAGTCACAACCTGCTTTCAACTCCGCTCGGATTCTGCACTGAAAACCCTGCTGCTTTCATTCTCACCCCAGGCCATCTCCAGCATTCTCCTGATTCTCAGTGCCCTGCTTTCTTGCTCTTTGACAGAAGAACCAGCTCAGGTATGTTGAAGACCTCGGAGAATATGTGTGAAAAGATTCTTTAAATAGCTGTAGACTTTTTAGATCAGAAGAGGCAAACTGATGAGATTCAGTGCTTCCTGATAGCTCAGAGGTGATGGGCTCATGCTTTGTCCTGCATTCCCCTAGCTGCCTGTCACCAGTCTTCCAGCCATTTCCTGGAAAGCAACCAACTGATTGTGTTCCCACTTTGCTATGGCCATAAACAACAACAAACTTGGCTCATCTGGCACCTCTATGCAACCACTGATGAAGGAAGCTCCATCCTGCCTAATTCTTTGTGTTTGTGCTGTAAATATCTGGAGACATGCTTTGTGTGAGTGAGGTGTCATGGAGGCTGCGACTTCCCTACTGTTGTTTCTGGCAGTCTCATGCCAACTCTCCATCATTCACTTTGGCAAGCTGGCAGCTTCCAGCATCTGAAAGCCAAAAATAGGAAAGGGCATTTGCAGGGCGGTGATATGATGTGTGCTTGGCTTTAAAAAGGATCACAAACTTAAGGCAGTGGAGAGCAAAAAGGCATACCAGTATCACCATGGATATGTGACATTAAACAAACCACTTGTCATGATACACAGCTGACTACTTGCCAAATGGAACAGGATCTTCTTATTATTCATGGTTTTGCCCTGTAAAACCTGCACAGTCACAAGAAGGAAAAATCTCCAGAAACGTACTGTTACCTTCCTCACCATCCCAGCCCATACTGGGGCTTCTGGTTCAACAGCAACTCCCAGATGTCCACCTACTTGCACACATTTGAAGACTAAAAGGTGAAATCCTGGTGGGCACCCTACTTAATCACTGCTGGAAAGGGAGCTGCAGGATGAGGTCACTTCCTTGAGGTAACTCTGACACTTGTAACACTTCCTGTCCTCCAGGGCTTTGATTCCATCCCTCCTGTCCCTCATAGCTGAGGCGGCAGCCTGGTATTTTTCTGCTGTCTCGTATATGCCCATCCACTGTTGCCTCCCGCATGGCTTTGCTGAGGACTACAGCAGCCACACAGGGAATTACCCTTGTCTAATCCATCACGGCACACCTCACTGTGCCCAGGAACCTAACTGCTTCCATCTAGGGGGATGATGGAAGCCCCAGGTGAGCTGGAGCTAACCCTCCCTTCATAGCACACTGCAGCCAGGTGAGTTCCTAGCCCACCCAAAAAGGACCAAGAGGGCTGCCACATGGACAGCATCTTGTAGGATCCCACTTGCTCTCTCCTGTGCCTCCCCGGGGACTTCCTGCATCCTTGCGGCTCGTGTGTGGGGCAGAAACCCCATCTCAGCCTACATGATGGCTGTGTCGACCTCAAAAAAAGGCACACAGAATTCCTTGTGTCTGGGGAAGCCATCCTGCATCTCAACCTATGTGATGGCAGCTTTGACCTCAAAAGCGGACCACCACAGTTCCTAATGTCCAGGAACTGTGCCTTGCCTACCGCTGCCCCCTTTGGTGTGCCCGTGGGCAGCTGAAAGGAGGAAAGTGGAGAGAGGGAGCAAAAAGCCAGGCAAAAGCACTGCTGAAAATGGGCCACCATCCAAAAGTTCCCTGCTGCAGGCCAGGCCTCCCAGGCCCTCTGCACTTCCCCGCTGCTTCAATCTGGCCATCCGTTCACAGGTTGCTGGTGGATGTGGAGTAAGAGGCAGGAGTGCTAGTCTTGGGGTGATGGTGGTGATGGTGGCTTGGCACACACGCGTGGCCATGCCAGGTCGGTGCTGTGGGGCCGGGCAGGAGCCACTGATAGGGGATGTGCTCAGCCAGGCTGACAGTCTGCAAAGAGTGTACCCACCGTGCCCCGTGTGTTCAGGTTTCCTTTGCCATTCCACGAAAAACAGTCATAAATAACTCAAACCCACCAACCAGGCCAAGGGCAAGAGCGGGTGGGCATTAACCCTCCACAGCCCGTGGGGCAAATATCAGAGATGGAAAGAAGGGGGGTGGAGGGGGCAGCACCCCCAACTTCCC